TTTATCTCACAGGTGGCAGTGTTTATCGCAAAACAAATTAATTTTTGTCCCATAACACTTGCCAAGCTAAAAACTTTACGATTACCATTAAATGTTTCTTTATTTATGCATTCTAAATTTACAAGAAGAAATCAAAATGACCATTCATCAAAATTTTTTATTCTGTGTCCATTTGGAATAAAAATTTCCCAGGTTTTATGAAATAACTTGAATTCCGACCGAAATTACCTTATCAACACGTATTTTTACTCTACAAGGTGGCTCGCTCTCATCTTCGGCATTATTTCAATCTAGAGAAACAGTTGTCGAAAAATGGGTACTCGGATAACTATTGTCCTTAAATTATCAGTTCATTTCGGAATTACACCCTACAATTTAATGAGCGTAGAATTTGTCCTCGTTGCTCAACAAGCAGGCACTAAACGAAAGTTTTATTTCAAGACAATCACCATGAAAGTATACGAAGCATCAAATGAGATATTTTTATTAAATTCGGGTAGATTTCCAGCATTATACGCAAAAAGAAGCTCCGATTTCGAAAGTTCAATTTAAAGAGCATAAATAAAAAAAGTTTATTACCCATAAAGCAGTTGAATGAAGATTGAGATGACGTTTGCGTGTGTTTTACTAACATCAAAAAGGCAGAGCAAAATGATTCTAAATTTTAACGTCTTTTACACTTTACAGCGACTTACCCAATTACCAATTAAGCCGCTGCTATGACCCACCTGCAACAGAAACACAGCGTCAATTAAAAAAGCTTCGGACTCGCTTAATTTTATTACGTCACAAAATTAATAAATAATTTGCAAGCACCGTTATTACGAAAGTGACTTTGGATTGGGCAATTTTGAAATTTTAATTTAAAAAATGTCAGTTCAAGTACGGCGTTGAAATTAAATTAGGAAAAAAAGGAAACCTACATTCGACTCAAGCAATCTCAATTCGCACTTCTCCCGCCTGAAAAGCGAGAGGAACTAAAAACAAATTGCAATTATCCCGCTGAAAAACCACTAATGGAACCATTCCGGGCTAATGTGTCCATTTAAGTTACCACCCCTTACCCTACATTACTATCTACTATTATTATAATTCCGTGTGTATAAATGGCGTCCGGATGAGTTTCGGGAGATAACGTCATCATCATCATCAACCTCATAGAACTAACATTCCATTATTTCCAGTGCCAAGTAAATCTCGGATTATTGGATCTGATGTTTTCACGCGGTCGAATCGTTTTATTTCTCGAGGCTTTTCCAATTATCTGGCTGGCTTGTTAGGTCGTCGCGCAGATGTTCTCGTGGCAAACTAACACTCGACTGCAGATGGCTGCGCCTTCCTTTTTTGGAAGTCGAACGTATCGGTAATTAATAAAGGGAAACTTCATCAAAATACAACTCGTTAGGTCCACGTCCAGCAGGAACACGACCGCATCGCAATAATTAACGAGCTCCCTCGCATGACTAAAATGAGGTAAATATAAAGCTCGCATCCGCTCACAATTGCGAAAAGTTTTTTTTCGGGAACAAATAGAACTTTTAGTCTACTTCAATAACGATCAATCACTTGTGCGGAATACATCAGTGACAGTTACTGTAATAAAGTTTAAAATGAAGAATATTAAAGTGTGTCAAAATGAAACTCCACGTCCCATTTGTCAGCAAAAGAAAAAGAAAGGTACGAAGTGTTATTATATAGACAGAACTTTTATTAAAAATGAATCTTGAGTTCATATTTTCAATTTAACCCTAATACTTTCTGATGAGTTTTCTCGACTACAGCCAAAGTTATCTGTAATGGAATAAAATGCATAAGTCGCAATTTAATTTACTTATTAGCCCAGCTTTCTTATTATGTTTTGAAATTTAATCAATTTACAATTACGTTCGCCTAACGAGACCTAATCTTACCAACTTATGTCGACTTAATTAATTTATATCTCCTCGGGGTTACACTTTTTATTTGAATGTTTTTAATTTAATTTCACACGTAAACTGTTCGTTTTCGATAGTTTGCGAACTACACCCTTAGGATATATTGAATCTTTGAATGCACTCAGAGAATGATTAACTGCCTGGAAGATCGTTTTATCACTAGATCCCAATTGGTGCATCATTCTCGATGACAATACCTGTAGCAATGGATTTGATATAGATTTGCCAATCTGTTGACTAAACTTCAATGAATTGAATGAGCGATAGTGGTAAAAATTCAATATGTGAGGTTGACAATTACAAACGTTCATGATGCGATTTAATGGGCAATGAAGTACATAATTTGTGCTGACATTACATGCATAGAACAGCAGCACATTTCTGATGGAATGGGCGGGCACATGCAATTCCCCACTTGGCGCTTTGGTTGGACTACGTACGCAATTATTGTTGGCTGAACTTTACATGTGTCATTTGTAAAGGCTAGTTACAAACATTTGAAATGATTACTTTAAATTGTATCAAAATGTGGGCCAGGAAACCTGGCCCAATCAAAATCTCATCTCTTGGTGCGTAACCACTAGATCTGGTTGATGATCAAAACTCAACATTTTATTAAATGGTTGAATATATTGAAAAATAAATTAACCTAAACTTCTTCTTTTGATTGATCTACACATACCAAAATTCTAACTCATATTTTAGAAATGCTTGACATCTGTTGTCAATGATGTACAGGGTTGTGACTTGCGTAAAGCATCATTGGGATTTCAATGTAAAATTCATAACATGCGATTATTGACTCCCCAAATTATTTTAGAGCAAAAATGTATTAGTTTTTTTGTACAAAAATTTTTTTACGCCAAACCATCGTATTAGCTTTCCATTTTTTTCATATAATCGACTGCACCAAAATTTCTCGGGAAAACACTTTTTCTTATTAATTTTGGTGCGTAGAATCCAAAACAATTCGTACTTTTTCGATCAGACTTCTCAATCAAAAGTTATAGACCAGAAACCAATTTCGAAAGAAAATTCAAAGGGCTGTAACTTTTGAACTAGTAGCCCAATCTTGGAACTGTTTGAAATTATGGATTCTACAGGTCACATTCTATAAGAAAAATTTTTTTCCGGGTCGATCTGAGACAATTTTTTTTCGGGGCTCAAAAAAAAGGCAGGTATAAACCTTCCTTTTTTACCAAAAATCGACTGCACCAAAATTTCTCGGGAAAATACCTTTCCTTATTAATTTTGGTGCATAAAATCCAAAACAATTAGTACGTTTTCGATTAAACCTCTCAATCAAAAGTTATGGACAAAAAACAAATTTCGAAAAAAAATTCAAAGGGCTGTAACTTTTGAACTAGTAGCCCAATCTTGGAACTGTTTGAAATGATGGATTCTACAGGCCACATTCTATAAGAAAATTTTTTTTCCGGGTCCATCTGAGACAATTTTTTTTTCGGGGCATAAAAAAAGGCAGTGTATAACCTTCCTTTTTTACCAAAAATCGACTGCACCAAAATTTCTCGGGAAAACACTTTTTCTTATTAATTTTGGTGCGTTGAATCCAAAACAATTCGTACTTTTTCGATTAGACTTCTCAATCAAAAGTTATGGACTAGAAACCAATTTCGAAAGAAAATTCAAAGGGCTGTAACTTTTGAACTAGCAGCCCAATTTTGGAACTGTTTGAAATTATGGATTCTACAGGCCACATTCTATAAGAAAATTTTTTTTCCGGGTCGATCTGAGACAATTTTTTTTTTCGGGGCTCAAAAAAAGGCAGTGTATAACCTTCCATTTTTACCAAAAATCGACTGCACCAAAATTTCTCAGGAAAACACCTTGCTTATTAATTTTGGTGCATAGAATCCAAAACAATTAGTACGTTTTCGATTAAACCTCTCAATCAAAAGTTATGGACAAAAAACAAATTTCGAAAAAAAATTCAAAGGGCTGTAACTTTTGAACTAGTAGCCCAATCTTGGAACTGTTTGAAATTATGGATTCTACAGGCCACATTCTATAAGAACATTTTTTTCCGGGTCCATCTGAGACAATTTTTTTTTCGGGGCTCAAAAAAAGGCAGTGTATAACCTTCCTTTTTTACCAAAAATCGACTACACCAAAATTTCTCGGGAAAACACTTTTTATTATTAATTTTGGTGCGTAGAATCCAAAACAATTCGTACTTTTTCGATCAGACTTCTCAATCAAAAGTTATAGACTAGAAACCAATTTTGAAAAAAAATTCAAAGGGCTGTAGCCTTTGAACTAGTAGCCCAATCTTGGAACTGTTTGAAATTATGGATTCTACAGGCCACATTCTATAAGAAAATTTTTTTTCCGGGTCGATCTGAGCCAATTTTTTTTTCGGGGCTCAAAAAAAGGCAGTGTATAACCTTCCTTTTTTACCAAAAATCGACTACACCAAAATTTCTCGGGAAAACACTTTTTCTTATTAATTTGGGTGCGAAGAATCCAAATCAATTCGTACTTTTTCGATCAGACTTCTCAATCAAAAGTTATAGACTAGAAACCAATTTCGAAAAAAAATTCAAAGGGCTGTAACTTTTGATCCAGTAGCCCAATCTTGGAACTGTTTGAAATTATGGATTCTACAGGCCACATTCTATAAGAAAATTTTTTTTCCGGGTCGTTCTGAGACAATTTTTTTTTCGGGCCTCAAAAAAGGCAGTGTATAACCTTCCTTTTTTACCAAAAATCGACTACACCAAAATTTCTCGGGAAAACACTTTTTCTTATTAATTTTGGTGCGTAGAATCCAAATCAATTCGTACTTTTTCGATCAGACTTCTCAATCAAGTTATAGACTAGAAACCAATTTCGAAAAAATTTCAAAGGACTGTAACTTTTGAACTAGTAGCCCAATCTTGGAACTGTTTGAAATTATGGATTCTACAGGCTTCTGAGACAAATTTGACCGTGGCCAACTGCCGAAATATTTTCCCACGATCCCCAGAATTTTCTCACGCTAAAGTACCGTACTACCTACTGATTTGAATCGAAAGTGCATCCTTCTCTCCCACCCAATTTTTACTTATGCACTCGCTGAGCCCGCATACCGGAACGACCCCAACGCAAAACACTGTAGGCAAAGTTGCCCCTTTTTGTGACTAAAAAACATTTGAAATGTTTGAAAATAGTGTGGGACACAAACATTTAAAGGCCGCCTGGTTCCAACATCCTCCGACACTTCATTCTTCATATATTTGCACAGACAATCATCAATAGATATGTCTCATAATGACGTTCCACTTACCTTTTACGAGTACCCTCTTCTGACACCACTTCGTTCTCAAGGTATTTGCTTCGACTTCACCAATACATATGTCTCGTCCAGTTGATTCATTTTGAGACTTGCGTGAGGATTTCGGTGTCGATGGCTGCAACCGCTGCGTCATAACACGTTTCTGTTTCGTCATCTGTCGGTCTGTCTTTGTCTTCTGATTTTTCAGATTCTAAGTACTTACTTCTTTTTCAGATTTTTGGTTTTTGGACTTTGAGTTCATCCAATTATTTTATTCAAACTGTTCATTAATTCAGATCACAGTAATTACTTAACATATATTAACAGTACGTATTGATATGACTACTGCTAGGAATGAGATGAGTAAAATTGTACCTACACCATGTGTATTTCTTATCGGGATTATCAAATATGTATCTAGGAAAGTAATAATGCTAAAACGTAGGCGTAAACCATATGCGTAAACGCAAGCTCTGACACGGGCGCATGCGCAAGGGTTGTAGACTGCGTAAACGTAAGCGTAAACGCAAATTTAAGACAAGGTCGTGGACGTAGAATAATATATCCCCGTCCTTTACAGATGTGGCAATTTCGGCACCTTACGAAGAAGAAAGCGGCGCCGTTTACATTTACTTGGGAGGAGAGCACGGATTAAGCAAGGATTACAGTCAGCGAATTTTGGGAAAATCAATTAAGTCATCCGTGCGCGGTTTCGGATTTGCCATCTCTAGGGGGGTGGACACCGACAATAATTTTCACAACGGTACATCAGGCATACCCGAAGTTACGGTTTGCTAAATTTTGTTCTTGCAGATATCGCGGTTGGCGCGTACAAATCCGGCGATGTGGTGATTATCAGGTCGAGGCCCGTCATTAAATTTTTACCGCAGCTCTTGTCGATGGCGAAAGAATTGATGCTGAATACGAGCGAGGTTACTGTGAAGTATTGTATGAGTTATTCGAGTTCGTCGAAGAATGTGAAGAAGGTTGACGTTAATGTCACATTGTCTAAAGATACAAGAGCTAAGGATAATTCTGATTCGGTTCGAACCATTGCTCTTGAAATTAATCAGACGTTTTGTGATGCAGTGCTTATTATGATACAGGTAAGTACCGTGGAATTATAAAAAATAAAAATTGAATAGATCACAACCCTGGTTAAGTTGCCAAATAAACAATAGAAACCCTCTTATTTGAATATCTCACGCTCCTACCAATAATTTAAATTGGCGTTATACGTGGCAACGTTCGGAGTGTCATGTAGGCTAGTCGGCATTAAACTAATTTTTTTAACATAAAAACATTATCGTATTATAAAGTCACAAAAAAACATAATTCGGTTTCAGGAGGGTATCTTTGATTATACTAAACCATTTACGCTTGAAATGTCGTATGCGCTCATAGATCCAGAATTATCAGGTACTGTCTGAAATGCTCACTTTTTAGTTTGTCTAATCTTGTTCCTATTAGAGTTCTGCGCAAATTGCCCAGTAACCAATCCCAGTGATAACACCTTCATTCAATTAAACATACCATTCGCCAGTGGTTGCGGCAGTGACAACATATGCCGGCCGAGTTTAAGTCTAAATGTGACCACTCAAACTAACGTGTAAGTATGACGCCGGCATTTAGGTACGTGGTCAAAAAGAGCTCTTTTCCAGGAGTTCGTTAATTATTGGGCAACTTTCAACAATCAAATTCCACGTACAAATTAGAAACGACGGAGAACCGGCGTACATCTCCCAATTATTTATGGCGTTCCCTGAAGACGTCGAAATACTTCTAGTGTCCAGCAAATGTGAGCTGAACGATTCTCGCATTTACGAATGCCTTCTCAGTAACGTTTTACAGCCCAACGTTTCGGTAAGTACCTATTACTTTTTCGGTTGACCCGTCATTTTGTAAGAACATTTCAGAGCGAGTTGGTTTTCGAATTTGATATTAAAAGACTAAATCCCAAAACTGAAAACTTAACGTTTAATGTAACCGTTCAAAGCAGAGGCGAAGAGGTAAATCCGGACGACAACGCAGTGTTGATAAACATCCCCTTACGCGTCCAAAACGGCGTAGAAATTTCGGGGTAAAAAAGAGGGTATTCGTTTGACATGCTAACGGAAATCTTTTAGGATATCGTTCCCGGATTCGATCATCTTCGTAAATGAGAATAAGGAAATGATAGCACAAACCGTGGAGTTCACTCAGGAGTATTATCTTAAAAATGTAGGTCCTAGTCCTATGAGTGGAATGAACGCTACGTTTTACTTTCCGGTCGAAATTCAAAATGAACTGTTCACCAATCAGATTGTTTTTGGCGTCTACGAACCTGATGTAAGCGATCACACCCAAGGCCTTAGAGGATTGTCAAAATTCTTACAATTTCTAGGTGATTATTAATAATCAGGCGGTTACGTGTAAGACCGACTATCACCTGGGATTCTACTCCGACGATGGTTCGAATGGCGAATCTTCAGAATTGGACCAGGATAATTCGCGCGAAGAAAATCGGTTTCGGCGAAGCGTCGATGCCTCACAACTCAGCTTTCCTGATGTTTTCGATCTACCTGCCAACAGAACAATATTAGTCAATTGTAAAAGTGACAACGTAACTTGTATGAAGATCACGTGCTCTAGTTCAGAAATACTTGCCAAAAATCAACCGATGGTCGCCAAATTTAAATTTCGAGCGCGTGTTGACGTTTTGAGTAAGTGAGCTCAACATAATACTCCGTCACTACCTATATCAATGATTTTTAGTTCAAATCACCAGTGAAAGAGATATAATCTTGTTCAGCTCAACTGCAGAATCCATTCTAGAGTCGAAAACGTAAGCCACTTGGTTTTATAACCATCAGTCACTCATCGTAAAAGTTTTAGTACCACCTACCATATACCGACTATACTAATTGGCTCTGCAAAAGAACCGGATATCTCATATTGGTTTTACATCGGCGGAGTTTTTGTTGCACTAGTAATACTGTGTATCATCGTCTTGATTTTGTACAAGGTAAAATAGAGACGATACCACCAGTCAGTTATGATAAACTTTGTGTTACAGCTGAACTTTTTCAATCGACCAGTTCGAGAGAAGTTACAAAACGAAGCTGACGTAAGTAGAAATTTCTAGTTCCTTCATGTAATTTCACTACATTTTTAGGAAGACACCGAATGTAAGGAATTGGAAGTTGACAGCACTATGGCTGAGGAAGAAAATTGTATGTATAATACGTGATGTAAAATGTGCTTTAGTAGTATAGTTAGTATGTAGTCATTCATTGGATACTCATTTTTTGTTATCGATAACTATTTTGTTGGTAATATACATATACAGTGTTTGTTTGATTGTGAGAAACTCCCTTAGAATGGTATTGCAGATGAAAGCTGAAAGAATGCAATCAAATTTCTTTTATTTTATCTAGTCAAAGGGCTGTAACTTTTGATCCGGTAGCCTAATCTTGGAACTGTTTGAAATTATGGATTCTACAGGCCACATTCTATAAGAAAATGTTTTTTCCCGGTCGATCTGAGAGAATTTTTTCTTCGGGCCAAAAAAAGGCAGTGTATAACCTTCCTTTTTTACCAAAAATCGACTGCACCAAAATTTCTCGGGAAAACATTTTTTCTTATTAATTTTGGTGAGTAGAATCCAAAACAATTCGTAATTTTTCGATTAGACTTCTCAATCAAAAGTTATAAACTAGAAACCAATTTCGAAAAAAATTCAAAGGGCTGTAACTTTTGATCCCGTAGCCCAATCTTGGAACTGTTTGAAATTATGGATTCTACAGGCCACATTCTATAAGAAAATGTTGTTTCCCGGTCTATCTGAGACAATTTTTTCTTCGGGCCAAAAAAAAGGCAATGTATAACCTTCTTTTTTTAGCAAAAATCGACTGCACCAAAATTTCTCGGGAAAACACTTTTTCTTATTAATTTGGGTGCGTAGAATCCAAAACAATTCATACTTTTTCGATTAGACTTCTCAATCAAAAGTTATAGACTAGAAACCAATTTCGAAAAAAAATTCAAAGGGCTGTAACTTTTGAACTAGTAGCCCAATATTGGAACTGTTTGAAATTATGGGTTCTACAGGCCACATTCTATAAGAAAATGTTTTTTCCCCGGTCGATCTGAGTCAATTTTTTTTTCGGGCAAAAAAAAGGGCAGTGTACAAGTGTAGTCTTTAGAAAACCTTGACAGACCTCTGGACGAGTGTCTCTGTTACTTCCCGTAGTTTATTACGGGGGCTAAATGGGCTTGGATCCCACAAAAAGCCTGCAAACAAGTCAGCAACCACACCATATACAGGGTGTTAGCGTAACGAAGGAAGCTACACTAGCTCACCCGATTGTCACGGAACCACAAGTTCCCATTTACTTAGACTTTTTCCTAATTTTATATTCAAAGCCTACCCCAGCCACTTACAATTTCAGTATCACCTTCAAATGAGTAATCCCAAAATTAGTACTATCAGAGCCATCATGCAACTTTATTAAATAAATAATACTAATTCTAATTTGTAGTTCACTTATAACAAATTAAAGACAATTACTTTTGCGAATTACTCTCTGAAGCAGATGTCATTTTCTGCAGCAAATCCATTAACGTTTGAACTCTTTCCTTAACCTGAAGAACCGACCTATTCTCCAATAGCTCGGAAATATTAACAAAAGCGCTATCCCTTCCACATTCTTTTTGAAGCGTTTCAAGAATTATTTTATCTTCGTCCCGCGTCCAAGACACCTCTTCGGGAGCGTGGTTACTATTACTGTTGTCGCTATGAACCGGTGAGTTACTTAAGCTCTCCAACTCTTCGGCGGATTCGTCGGTCTCGGTGTTAATATTATCTTGAGAAGATTCTTCGCAAAATTCAGATTCGGATTCGGCGCTATGCTCGGGACTGTGCCGTACTTCGACCGATTCAATTGACGTGTTGCAGTCCCATTCCCCCGCGTCCTCCATCGACGGTTTTTCATTGGCGCCGTCGCACTCGTCGATGTTCGAAATTGCCGCCGCCATTTTTACGTTTTCATCAGAATTTGGAATGTTTTCCGCGATCTCGGATGGTAGCGGAGTTTCGCACGCCACCTCAATCGGCGCCACCTTTTCGTTTGCGTCCCTAAATTTCACCCTCTTCTTCCTCGGCGATTTGGACGTGCGACCCTTTCGTTTCAAGCCGTCGGCGTCGTCTTCGCTGTCCAATGATATCCTGTGATCGTCGTGACTATCTTTGGCCGGTGATGCAAACTGTTTCGAGGGGCTTACTTCCGATCTTCGTTTCCTTCTGTCCGCATGTAAACCATTCAACCTTAGATGGTGGTCGACGCCAGAATTCCCATTGAATGTAACGTTAGCTAGCCGTAGTCCTTTTGCAGTTTGAATGTAGACACGACCTTGAAAGAACTGCCAAAGGACAGTACAATTAGTCATTAGATCTTCCTTTCAATTCATACGCAAATAAAGACTGCGCTGCAATGGGAGCATGGGAAATTGTTTAAGGCGACTTACTAATTAAGGCTCCTCTGTAGTCAATTTGTATTTCAGTGTGATTGCAATTGGTTAGACCACCAACAATACACACTGCTACATGATCTCCTTGAGTGAAACCAACGATGTATCTATCCTTTTATTGTTAAACACAATAGACCATGTATAATGATCAAGGACTAATTATGTTAACAAGTTTATCGAAAAGCTGTACAATATTTGACTGGAGATGCACAAATGCCTATTTCTGTTACGTTGTATAATAGTATATTATTCCATGAGCATGTAATGGTGGCTTTTACTCATGAGAATGTGTAATAGCCATTACATGCGAATAGAATACTATACTTTTTCTACGAATATTTGGCAAAATTTCATGAAAATATTCAAACTTGACGTTTGTTACTAAACCAATTGCAGTTGAGTTATTTTATAAATACTTAAAATTGGTCATACTGTGTGACAATTGAGATGATATCAGAGGTATCAAAAGGTTGTCAAGCTTTCGTTTCTCATTTCTTAAAATTTGATCGTTTAAATTGTGGGTTTATTGCTATATGTAATTATAGCTAAACGCCTAAACATTGACCCGTATGAATAAAAGTAAGCAAATGCTTATACTTGCAAAATTCAAAGTAAATACTCGTAAGTGCTCCTTCCCACTGGGCGAATTAGCAGCGCTTCTAAGCAGAAGGACAGGACGCAGTGCAGCGCTGCTAAACCATGCTAAACAGACCAGTATGAAAGGGCAGTTACGAGTATTTACTTTGAATTTTGCAAGTATAAGCATTTGCTTACTTTTATTCATACGGGCCATTGAATAATGCGGGTACTACCAAAACTACGACAAAATAACAGGCATGTGCGACTACGAAGTAACAGAATTTGTACGAATACTTAACCTCACTTCCTATTTTTACACTTTGAAGATCCTTTTGTAAGTAGTAAGTAGATGTCTTTTAGGTCGAGAAAATGGGAGTGAAATTTTCATATTTATATTTAGCTTAGATCGATCTAAGATATTTAGACTTTTCCGGCTATAAATACATAATTTTTTTGCCGTTTCTGTTATATTTGGCGGCGTACAACTTCATTATTTTCATTTTCGCTATCCATCTTGACACTTTCAAATTCGATGCGTCGGTAATACAGTGATCTTTTCCTTTGAGTTCAATTCAGCAACTTAATTTATATTAAAAACGGTCTAAATTAGCATGGGATGTTTTATTTAATTTAAAATTGATTTTCAATTTTGCATTCACATTTTTGTTTTTTGTGTTAATAATAATAATAATAATTTTAGTTTAGATTAGTTAACCAGGCTAGACCTGAGTTCTCACAAGAAGCACCGACAATAATAATAATGGATTTTATTGATTAGGAATCCATATTTATTTAACAGAAATTAGCGAAACACACAAAATGCGACTTACAAATAATGTAATGTCAAAGTCACAGCCTTCTTGCAAAAGTACCTACCTATTATAGGTACTTAAAATCCCCAAAATCGTGTTTTCTAATGATATTTAAATATGTGTTAAAACAGTTCATCTGCTAGTAGTGAATAAAATAATAAATAAACCACGGTAGAGAAGACTTTTCATCGCCTCGGCTAAGAAAATCAACTTCTCTAGCTTGGTGTATAATTACTATATTCAATGCATTTACTGCATTTTTCTATAATGACACCTTCTGTAAATTACGTGATTTTTATGTAATTAGTGGACTAGATTATAGTCCAGAGGATTAGCAAATAATCGTGCATTGTTTTGTATAGAAGCATGAATTTTTGTATACGACTTACCTATAACCCAACAGTCATTTTAAGATAAAGATAAGATTTTAATTTAATTTAATTTAATTTACACGTCAATAAATAATAAAAAATAGTAGATATATAAATATAACATATAAATATAACAGACACAGACACACAAGTAATTACAAAGAAAAGAAAATACGAAGAATAGGACACAACAAATAATATAAAATTGCAATTTCATTAATTTAATTTAATTAATTTAATTTATGTATGTTAATAAGTTTAACTATACATCTAAAAAGATGAATAAAAACAGTATTTTGAGTGTAGAAAGCCTAAATTCTCGACTTTTTGTGGGAAAAACAATCAAGGTTACCTTTGACCCCAAAAAAAGCCACACTCAATACATTTAGGGTAAATATCAATATAATATTTCTTTTAGCTTAGATGGTGCTCAACAAAATCCGTGTTTTAATTTTGTTCTAGCCCTAGTGGTTCCGAGTTGGCAGAATTATTACCGAATGGATACCACTGCTAAAACGGCCGTTTTGAAATGGGCACCCTACGCCCCCCCTGGCAGAGAGCCAGAGTGGCTCTAATGTTTAAAATGACTGTTGGGGTATAGGTAAGTCGTATACAAAAATTCATGCTTCTATACAAAAGTGCACGATTCTTCAAAAATATCGCGTTTGCCCTCCGGACTCTTAGCATTGTTTGTTATAACATTTTTTAATTACCCCTTTATTTCTTGTGATTCGTTCTAATCATTTTTACTGATTTATAGATTTTTATAGTTATTAGGTACATGTGCATGAATGAATTCATTTAGGTATGGTAGATCCTAAAAAAACCGGCACTTCGAACACCTAAAATAAATCTTTCTTTACTTATACATATATACAAGGGTGAACAACAACAAAAATTCTATGGTAGCTAACATTTAAAATTCTGTTACAATGATTAAAAGTATAACATTTATACTGATTCTAAGTAAATCTTTATCTTTTCAAAAATTAATAACAATTGTCCATTTAACGTATTACTTATTTATAATAATAATAATATTTATTTTTCATGCTACTACGCAAAAGCGGTTACATTCGTCTAAAAATATATAGTAGAGATTACAAACAACGTAAATCAACTAACAACAAGCAAATAAATAAATAATCAAATCACTAACAATTAGAGATTACTAAACCCATCGTGAATACATTCAGTGGTGGAATAATATGCTTTATTAATAAGGTGTCTTTTATATCTTTTTTATATCTATGCACGACCCATGGAGAATTTTTCCCAACATCTATTGTGCGGTAAGATGACTTCACTTTTTTGCCCTGAATTCAAAGGTAAAAATAAAATTTACTTGATCCTCCTATTTATTGAGGGACAAATATTCCTGTTGATAAAGTTGATATTAGTCCATATTGAAAAAAGAAGTAGGTAGTAGTAAAAAATTTACCGGTTCACGACGTTTCCTATGTTTATATAAGTGAAAAAATGCATATGTGTCATTTGTTATCTATTGGACGCAACTTTATGTAAAGCAAAGGGCATGTGCATCTTTTGCTTTTGGTCACATTTTCGAAATAGATAATTTTCACGAAGACTTACTCTTAGTCCAGTATGCAGATAATTTTGACCTGCAAAAGATTTTATTGTTTTAAATGGTCCATTTGGGTTTGAAGAGTGCGCACAAATTTTTTCCCGGCACAACTTTTGGCAGCCAAAAAACCTTCGGACTTTTTTCAGTTTTTCGCTTAAAACTCAAAAACGGTCCATATTTTATGAATAACACTTCTTTAGAAAATTAAAGAAAACAAAATCATGCGTCGATTCAACTACATGTTATTTGAACCCAAATGGACCATTTAAAACGTTAAAATCGTTTACACCACATTTTGCAGGAATCGGCCCTTCTAACTGCTCCGCATACTGGACTATCTGACGAAATTGATAATTTTAGATGGGAAATATACACAAACGTGAAATTTAGTCATATTTGATTGATTGGATCTAACTAAACAAAGTGCTACGCTGGTAGTTTGAAAGCATTGTTATAAAACAGAGTTCATATTCAGCACTACTTATGATATAATATGTGAAGTACCGAGTATTGTACGTACCCTCCGCCCCGCCAAAGGGAAATATTATTACAGCCTCATTATAGGGTTTTTTTTTATTTCTTGAAGCATCCTGATGGGATGCAAAAGGTTTTAGAAATAAAAAATTATTTCCAATGCACCTACAATAGGATATTCATTTTTCGTCTTGGGAATATGTGACATTATGATTTACAAATCAACAGCATTCAAATAAATAAATAATAAATAGTAATTTATCTAATCCATATCATTAGGAACGGCGTAACAATGTGTAGGGTAATGCCAGGTAGTTTCTTTTGTTTTCCCTTTCAAGTAATGAGTTGTCGCCTCAGGCGTTATAAGTGCAATTTAAGTTGCCTATCCTTACGTTAGCGTTTTGATTTTTTTCTGAAGATCGCGAAACATATTTTTTAAAATATATGCCTTATCATAATAGATGGAAATAATATCTTTAAGTACCGCCGTAGTAAATACTGCCGGATTTCCAAATTGGTGCTGTACGTTTTTCTACTCTCATTACATCGGCCGTTATCTACAAAAAACCATTTTTCTATTCATCGATCTTCCTAAAAAAATAAGACCGATATTTCAACTTTTTTTAAGTACCGCCGTTCTTTTCATCATTGCAAAGAATATCCACTATCGAGAATTTGTTAGACTTCAACTACAAAAGCAGCATTTCATAAGAAAGTTTAGCTATTTTTCCAATATGGCGGATTGACTACAGAGGAGCCTTAATAAGCCTATTGCTGATATACAAAAAATGAATCAATTCCTGATTCAATATTTAGAAAACATATGAAATCTAGCGCATGCCACGTCAAAGACCTACATCAACTTCCCAGTGTTAACACCGCGCACCCTGACGGCACACGGTATGCTAGACTTTATCATTAAAAAAAGAATAAAATTTCGCAATTTAAAAATGCAGTAATTTTAATTAACTTAAATTAATCACTTAATCAAACTTACCTTAAGTCCACATTTAACACAGTGTTGTCCAGGAGACTTAAAAGTAACATCGTTACTTTCGTGACACGTACAAACACAATTGTGACCCCCGTAATGATCTTCCATTTCAGGAACGTTAACCGTTTCGAAGACATCTTCGTGCAAGTTAAATTCACGTCTCGTTTCCATCCTCTCCCAAACGCCGTTCAGCAGGCTACAAATTAAAACTACACCTACCGACACAGTAAATGGCAATGACGTACCTGGGCGGCGGAGGCTCGCTAGGGAAAATTTGCAAAAACCAGTCGGTTAGCAAATTATTACCTTTGAGTAGCGGCAAGATGGTTGCCTTAACACGTTCCATATTGATATCGACGCAGGTAGTTAAATACGTAAGGCTACGATAGATCTTACGTAACTGCGCCGGTTGATCTTTGAAGTATAATTCCAATTTGCGCAGAAATAGCGACATGTTACTGAGGGTGTAGTAGGGGATTAGTTTTCCGATTTCTTTGGCTTGTGAGGGCATGAGGAAGGTTAAAAATTCCTCTTTGAGATCGGAATGCTCGCTTCCCATAACAGACTCGATTTGTTTGTACAGCTCGGTAACGCTACAAGTGTTCTCTTCGAAGTTATTCAGCACTTCCATAAACTCCTTGTAATCTTCGGGAGATAATCGTTCTTTAACCTTGTCGAAGTACGCTTGCGCGTAACCTACAATGTGTTTTTTTTTAAATTTGAAAGTTTCAATTGTTTATATTACTTTGGGCTTTTTCTTGTAGATATACAGGGTCTTCGGGAGTTAGCATAGCCAAATTTGCGAGGTATTCCCTTTGTAATCGGGCACGTTTTTTATCTGTGGCGGATTGAGTACGGCGATTAGGTGTTCGAATTGTTGAACTTGCAATCATCAGAGCATTGATATCATCTTCGTTATCCTGTAATGATAATGTGTAGCTGTAGAGAAGTGTGCATTGGTGTTCCTCAAGGAAGTATTTGAGGTCCCTTTTTGTTATTACATATACAGCCTGTTTCAAATGAAGTCGGCACTATTGCTAACTTTCGCAGTTGTAGAGGGTTAAATGAGCAAAATTGTGTATTTTTGTCTACTGAATCTAAATCTGTAAATAAAAAACAAAACATCGAATTTTTTAGAAAATAACAAAAATGCGACTTTTTATATGGAACACTCTGTATATTATTACATCACATGAGAGCTTATTACATTCTCTACAATAGCCGAAATACTTCAAAAAAATGAAGATTTTTTCTGTTTATATAAAAATAAAATAAGTTACAATTATTGATACCCCTGCTAAATTAATTAAAGGTTAAAAAACATTTCCATTTTCTTGATTTTTTCAGGGTGCGTCGAGGGCATATACTCTAAGAAAAAAACTTAAATAGCGTGAAGTAATAAATTTCAATTTATTATGTTTATGGATAACTAGATCGAAATGAAAATAATTAAAAAATCTTGATTATTTGAAGTTTTTGTTTATGATGCATTAAGAAATTTTGTAGAGAATTTAATAAGGTGTTATATGATACAGGGTGTTCCATATAAAAGTCGCATTTTTGTTATCTGAAAAATTTGACGTTTTTTTTTATTTACAGATTTAGATTCCGTAAACAAAAATACCCAATTTTGGTAATTTAATCATCTTTCTAAGTCTACAACTAAGAAAGTTAGCAATAGCGCCTACTTAATTTGAAACAGACTGTATACACTCTGTCCAAGATAAAGATGTCAACCAGAAACCATAGAAGAAATGACAGGGGGTCGTTAAAATTTCCATGAACTTTTTTTAAGCCCGCCACTGGCAGATTGTGGAACAAGAATTTGATTTTCTGATTTGTTTATAAACATTTTGGTCTCGTAATTTTTTCGTTATGGACAAAAAAATACAAATCAATTTTCAGTAGTATAATTTTTAAAATGGTTAAAATAGGCGCTAGTTTTATTTGGATAATCCCCTGTTTATAAATTGAAGGTTTAAATTGTAAAATGTGCAGTAGAACTTTAACACTTTGTAGACTGGTAACAAAGCATTTGCATAATATACAGGGTGTTCCATTCCATTAAAAATTTTAATTTTGGTGTGCCACACATTTATGACTAACCCTGTATATCTAAAATTATTACTCAAACACCTCCTCCTTGATTATGTTCTCCTTGCAGCCATATAGAAGGATTCTAAGTGAGTTAGGAACAGAAACAACTCCACGTACAGTACAGTCTCCTGATACAAAAGAATATTTCTATTAGGTAAAGTGACAGTACTAACAGTCCTCCTCCCAGAGTACGCATGTTTGCTCGGTAGCCAGATAAAATTTAAATTAAAAAAAAAAATACTACGTGACAAAAGAAAGTGTTGGTTTGTGATTTTGGTAATTTTTAAAATACAATTTCCACAATACGAAATATGGCAAAAATACCTTTTGATTTGCGTCCTCATCATCGTCACATTCTGCAGGGGGCGGTTCAGTTTCCACACCATCCAAGTGGTTCAATTGAGCCACAGGCGACCTACTTTCACCGACCGCACTACCGTCCAGAAATGGCATGCTGGGCAGCATGTTCAGCTCGTCTTGATCGAGCTTTCTTAAATTGTTAAAAATGGACGAATTAAATTTAAACGATTTTAACTTGGGACTGATGTTGCCGAGTCTATTCGCTCTCGGCGATCTGAAGTACTGGTCGAGGTGCTTCCGAGTGCAACTGGAAGTTAATTTCGGTGTCGAACAGAACGTCGCAGGAGATTGATTTCGAGGCGTTAACTGTTGCGGTACAATTCTGGAGTTCGAATGAAGGGGTATTCGCTGAACGGTTCGTCTTCTCAAATTCTTCGTCGCAAAGCTTTTGTTGAAAGCGGGGGGACGTTGAACCTTGGTTATTGTAGTAGGGACTGATAAAGACGTAGGAAGAAGTATACCCTGAAAATGAAATGTTTATTTATTTTATTACATTTTTGATAGCTGTCTAATGACTGTCAAAATCCGCCATATTGGCGAAGTTGCCAGATCTTATCGAGTACAGGGTCTTTAAAAAGTTACGATCATTGTACAATGTACATCAACTGATGCCAATTTTTAATTGTAAATGAGTTGATACTTGACTGTAGGTCTTTTAAAGAGGAAACAAACGTGGAGTGTGTCAAATTCATTCATTTTGTGTGACCATCCAAATTTGGTTTCGTGGGTTCTCTATAATGTTTCGTTTTTTTAAATCAAAGCATAACACTATGACCTTCAGTAATACTACTAACCTGAGGAGCGCAATGGGGATACAGGTACATCTTCCACTGATACGGTAACATTTCCTTCTTCCTCTTACAGGGCGGAAGAATCCCGTACTCTTCCAAACTTCTAACATAATGAATAACAACGGGAGCTCTTCTATTTTGAAAATAATACTTTATCGGATTTCCTGGTGCTCGAGGATGCTTACTATTAAATATATGGCAATACAACCTTGTAATCTGTTTTGTCGGAGTGAAATATTTCTGAATTAAGGCGCACACTCGCTTAAGTTTCACCTCGCCCTTTCCGTTTAAATTGGACTTGTCGCAGGCCAAGTCGGGGGTAAACTTCTCCAACCCTAGCGCCACTAATCTAAATTACACGGTTAATATTTTAGTTTGCGAATGTGAATCTTACTGATTTTCAGACGTAGTATAACTCTCGATGAATTTGCTAAATAACGACGTAGACTTGAATGGTATAATTGGTAATAAATCGGGATAAATAAAGACTTCGCTCCTGGCAATTGTTTCCATGATTAACGGCGGAAAAGTGACTATGTATTCAATACCGGCTGCTTTACTCGTTTGGCTAAGGGAGAGGGAATAAATTTGTGTTGCACATTGTTTGATAGTACTTACGATTCATGCAGAACTCGACAGACATACCTAAAACAAAGATTAAAATAGTCCACGATTAGTATTAAGGCAGTGTGGCACCAATTTTCATAAGAAATTGAATTTACCCTCTTCTCCAAAGTCTTTTAACCTGGGATGGGGGGATAAGGGAGATACTTTTAGCACCACGGTCAACTAATAACCTGCATAATATTCTGTTATGTGATTTTCATGTCAAATAATTCAATGTGAGCATTATTAAAAAAAGGAAAAGACTGTTCCAAAAGTTGAAAAGAATGGCAAATTGTTTTAAATAGCAGAGGAAAACATCAATGTGGTTTTTTTCGTTTCCCAGTTCCCAGTACCGGTAAAAGACAGTTTTTCCACCATCAAAGAGCCACTTTTACATCTGTAATTCAAACAAAGTCGACGTCGTCTGCATTTAAATTTAAGTGCCACTAAAGAAGTGAAGTTCCAGAAGCAACATCAATTAGCTTTGTGTTTGTTTGTGCGTTCCGCCCCAGGGTACCACAAAATCCCTGTGTAAAACCATGAAAAAGTAACGCGTAAATCCAAATGTTTATGCAAATTAGTGCTATTTGTAAATTACTTTAATTTGCCTGCTATTTCAACGAGTGGTTCTTTACCCAATACTTACGCTTTCATTTCTTTTATTTCGTCCGTATTTAATTGAAACTGTTTCTCCCAATCGTTCATCAACTTAATAGCGCCATCTAAATTGCACGTCTTAAAAATAGAATTCTCCTTCAACTCCGCCAAACAATTATAGTTATACTAAAACGCAATTCGCTAATTAATTCTGAATTACAAATCGATCAGTTGTACCAAGCAAGCTTTAAATTCCGTCGACAAATCGTGATATTCCGGATGTTGGTACGATAACAGGAAATGCTGAGCGAGTAACTGTACGTGTTGGCGCAATTGCTGCTCGAGCAAGAGCTTTTGATCCATTCGCATGGCCTCGCAATATATTAACTCGGACGACGGTTCAATTGTCGGTATAACTGGCACGTCGACCGGTGGAACGACCTGAAAAAGCTGTCAGTTAATCCCAATTTTCGTTTACAAGCATACTAATTGAGGGGTTGTATCCACAATGTCTGAAATGTCCGAGACCAGTTGACTGTCATTGATAGTGCTAACGGAAGCGTTGTTCTCATCGTTATCTTCAAAGTTATTCGCGTACTCGAATAGTTCGGCCAACATGTCGTTAAATTCTTTCCTGGAGACTTTTACAGCACGGTCTGCACGTAATTCCTCTTTGTCAACTGCAACAGAGAAGTTAAAAGTAGATGTGTTCACAAATATGCAGGAATATGCATAAATCGCACGTGCTAGCTTAGGTTTCCATAAAAACAGCATTATATTATGTTCTGAACGTCGTTTTATTTCGTGCTCCGCGTCCCATTTGAAATAATGAAGAATGCAGAATCATCTATTTCATTTTATCTACACTTACGGTTAAAGAGCGACTTAGCCTACTCATTCAAATCTATTAAAATGTCAATTTAATATCTGCTATAATAAAAAATGTTTTCTATGCTCTTTACCTTGCTTCAGTTTGGCCTTTTAACTGCTTCTAAGATCTGAAATTCGAAGTCTAATGTTTTGGTTCAATGAAACTCTAATACCCATATGATTTTAGTTGATATATTGTTGTGTAAACAAAGTCATTTGAGTCTAAACACCAAATATAATGAAGGGATATGCTGTATAGAGAATATTGGGGGATTATTTCTGATTAAGCACAGAGTTGGTTTGCTGTACTTGAATTTGTTGTTCAAATTTTGGCTTTTGTAATTTATTCAATTTAGATAAGATGCTGTTTTAAAGTTCGACCTCGTCTGCTGTCGAAAATCCCCGCATACACGATACCTCTCTTCGCTTATCTTTAGTAATAAACACCAACACCACAAAATACGTGTTGTTATCGGTTTTATTTCCAGACGTAATTTTGTTTCTGTTCGCTATAAAGCGGTACGTGTGTAAATCTTCCTATAGTCAAATATAAATTCGAAAAATTACTTTTTAAGTCTAAAGAGACCACCCGTTACATCGTTCGACTGCGCACGCCCTTCAAAAATCGCGAACCCACAGCTCTAATCTCTAAAGCGAGTTTTTAAAAAAAACTTTCGCCCTCCCGCTACCCCTGAAGGAGTGTTACATTGTTTTCAAGAAACGTCTGCACTGCAATTTTGCAATAGCCAACTGCATCACCAGAAATATGCATCATCTATTGCCGAAAGCACAACTACCAACCTTTATCCACCTCTTCATCCGCAAGAATATTATACTCCGGATCGTGCTCTTCGTCTTCACACGGTTTCGTAACCTCGTCTAGCGGCCGAGTGAACTTCTTCAAGAAATCTCGCCAGTCGTCGTTGTCGCAATCCATATCGTACATGTCGGTCGTAATATCCGGCGGTATAAAGGCCTCCTCGATGATTTCCAAAGGCGTCGAACTCAAACACAGCTTCGAGCGGGTCCGCAACGCGATGTTCGCCTCCTCGATTTCTCCCTCTTGCGTTTTGATGGGAGGAATTTTGAAAACGCCGTCGTCGCTCCATTGGATCTTCTCGGATTCCGGTTCTTTTACGGCGGTCAGTGGCGACACCGATCTCGGTTCGCTGATGCGGTCGTCTTCGCTCTAAAATTTGAATGAGTTCATTTCAAGGGGGTATCTCTACTCTGGAAATACATGTATGTTTCTCCACATTTTACGTTTCATTTTGGAACTGTCAGACCATAATTGAGATATGTGGCAACACTGTATCAAAAAGGGGCGGAGTTATCCTCTAGCGCATTCTTAGTACTTTCTTTCGACATTACTTTCATGAATTATGAGGTATTATAGGTAGGTATTTGGTAGAAATCAGTTTTTTTTTGTTGAGAACCATGATTAGAATAGGTTACCGAAAAGGATAGAAGCATATTTTAGACCCCCTCCCACCTACCAAACCCCTAAACTCCAAAAATTCAACCCATTTTTAATGCTTTGTTACTGAAATAATGCAAGGTTGCCTTTTTGAGGAAATATTCTGCATTTGTCATGGGACACCCTGTACAAAGATAAAAAAATTTGTTTTGTGACAGCCTACTATTGTTTAAACAAATAATTTATTGGAAATACTCGTGTACATATTTCCCAGATTTGTTTCTTACCTCTTCTTCCATCGGGACGTATTCGTCCCCCGATGAATCTTCTGCGAGATCGTCCGTTATCAACTTTTGGACCTCGCTCGGTCGCTTCGGGCTTAACCATGGTAAGGCCGTAATAGTAGGCGATGGAAATAATTCTCTGCAATAAAACCTTAACACCGACAACCAAACACTTGTATCCTTACTTGGCCTTAGCTCGAGTTAGTTTCGGCTCAAACGGTAGTTTCGTTTGAGGAGCCTGAGGATCCTCACTTTGACGCACGAATCCCAAAACGTGTTCATTGGTAACAACTTGCTTTAAAATACTTTTAACGTTTATGGTCGTTAAATTAATTTTAGCGGCTTTGGCGTCTAACTTTTCGTCTAGATCCTTCGCTATGCTATCTATTATGTCTAGCTCGGAACGTTCCAGCTTTCTCGGTGTCCTAGACTTTCGGGGTAGCTTCCGTTTGGGACTTTCCAAAACAATCTTCAAACCATCATCGGACACCTCACCCTCGGAGAAGTTCTCGAGGGATGCATCCATGATTTCACATTAATAACGGCGTTTAACAGCTGTTCTTAACAGATAAAGAAATTTAGGTCATATTTAACTGGTATTGATTACTTATAACTTGAACTTGGAAGGTGAAAGAAAACAAATCAAAAAGTAAACTGACGGGTTAGCAACTGCGCACTAAACCTATACCTAACCTAAAAATCATAGAATAGAACTCAACTATCTATAGAGTATAGGGTATGCCATAATGGAATATACAAGGTGGTGCTATACGTACGCTCCCTGTGACGTACTTACAAGACAATAACAAAATTATTTTTGTTAATGGAGTGTTCGTCTAGAGTAATGATATTTAATAATACATTATATTTCAGAACTGCCTTGTTCATTAGGTGTGTATTTATATCTGGTGGAACGCAGAACAAATTTGAATTCAAGTGTGAATACTTTCATTTTTAACAGTAATACAACAAGGTACAGCAATAAATAATTTAAAACACTATTTACTAAAAATATGAGTTAAAATTATTGTTATAATGTAAAACTTATACCTACGACACTAAAATTTAGGTAATCTAAATATCTAAGCTCACATATCGATTGTCACTTTCCAATAGTTTTTCCAGCATTATTCTCAAATCATGAAAGGTTGGCCTCTCTTTGGCCGAGTCTTTCCAACACTGTCTCATAATACCGTATCTAATTAAAAAGAGTTGAAATAAAGTTCATATCGTTGGTAGCTTACAATTCAAGACTGCAGTTTTTGGGACACTCCATTCTGTATCCACTTCTGAGCACGCTTAGCATGTCGCGCGGTGAAATAGTAGCGTAGGGGTTACCGCCCAAAGTTACAATTTCCCATAAAACAACCCCAAATGACCAAACGTCACTCTGAGTCGTGTACTGTTGGTGCGATAGAGATTCGAGAGCCATCCATTTTATTGGTAATTTCCCCGCTCCCGTCTTGAGGTACACATTGTCTTGGTAAACGTCCCTGCTTAACCCGAAATCGGCTACCTTCACAATTTTGTTTTCGCACATTAGTACATTTCGTAACGCTAGATCACGATGAACAACCCTTAGGCCAGATAAGTATTCCTGTAAATTGACATAAAGTTGTGGCTTTAATTAAGTAATAATACCATTCCCAAGGCGATCTGTCGCGCAAAGGATAAAAGGTCACGAGGATCCAAAATAAAATCGTCTCCCAGTAAATATATTTTGTTTGAGAAGTTGTTGTCCATTTGATTATTTTCCACGAAGCACGGCGTGTTTATGTAACGTGACTTTAAGGGTCTGCAATGGTATGCTAAAACACTGCAAGACAATCATCGACTTACTGTCCAGCGAGGTGCTCCCAAACTGCTCGTAAATATGATAGCAGGTCGCCCTTGACGCAATACTCCACAACTAGAAACGGTCCCAGGTATCCCAGTTTGGAACAACACCCAACCAAGGACACCAAGTGTGGATGAGAACCAACCGATTTCATGATTTCAATCTCATGCTCAAACTGTTTCACTTCCTCAGCATTCGGATTACCTAAACCAAACCTGACACTAAAAGCAGTTCATGCAGAACTCAATTTCACCTTTAAGCATTTTAATAGCAACTTCCACCTCCCTTCCATCCACCATTTTAATGTACCCTTTATGCACCACTCCGAACGCCCCCTCGCCTAATATTTCATCGACCACAATCTGATTGGCCTTCAGCTGCCACTCATCGTTGATCATTTCGGGCACGTAATACTCGCCTGGCGCGCTCCCAATTTCCGACAAGCACTTCCCCTTTAAGTCGTCGCCGTAGCAGTTCGAAATGGGCAGCTTCCGAATTCTCTTGGATTTGCTTATTTTATAACGACGATATAAAAGAAGAAATACAATTATTGCAATCGCTATTGCCCCAAGAACGCTACCGATGATAACTGGCAGCTGACTTGAACGAGACCTTGGCGGTTTAACGCTCGCGATTCGCTTTTCGGTATCGGCGAAACCGTCGCCCGCTCTTGACGAGGCCTTGATGTAGATGAAGTACGTCGGCTCTAGAGGTACGTCGAAGAATGTCGCGCAGGTTTCGTTCTAGAGACTTAGGTGATGAGATTGTTCGCGCAATGCGTTGCTTACCCCGTCCACAATTTTGGACTCGGGTGACGTGCTCAAGGAGTTGATTGTGACTGTGTAGTTGTCCGGAAACAAGGCAGGCTTGGACCAAGTTACCTGAACGTTGTATCTGTATGTTCGGTTGAAGTAATCGTCGTCGCTTGAAAGCTCTTCCGTTGCATTCAGGTCTTCTGGTGCTGGAGGAACTGTTAAAGGTGCAGTGAAAGCGGGTGGGACCTCGGAAATTATTCTTTCGCTTACCGCACACCTCCAAGCTGTTGAATTCGTCCAAGCACGACGGTGTGTGATACGATAGCTCTGTGCTATTGCTTTCCCGGGTAATGATCCCGTTTATGCTGATAATCTTTATGGTGTATTCCGTTCCCAGTTCAAGGCCTGTTATCCTGTAGCGGAATAGGGTGTCGACCTGTTAATGGAGAAATATTAAGACTTCAACTTTGATTCAATTTACCTCTCTTATTTCTCGCTCTTGCACGTTTTGCATGGTCCTTTCATCATTGCCGTACCACACCAAATTGTAAAAACACGAACGATCTTGAAGAAAACTCGGTTAACCTTTTGCCATTTGAGATTCTACCAACCTTCGGCGGGCTTCCATTCGACCAACGCTGTGTAGTGTTTCTCCACGAGTTGGGCGTCAAGTATTACTAACTCGGGAACTTGAAGAGGAGTGTAACTGGTAGGGGTTGTTCTGATCCAAGCCGATTCATATGGTCCAAATACTTCTCCAGTTGCGGACACCCCCCACAATCTCATTTGGTAGTCACTATTTGGTTTTAATAAATTCATTGTCCATTTCGAACAGCTCGTCTAAAATTGTGAATAAGTTAAAGCGTACAAGCAAATGGAACTCTAGCACCATTGTCGCAGTGGTCCATTGAGTACCATTTCCTCTAGTCTCCAATAAAAACACTAACAATTTTGCAGATTCCCAATTTATAGTAATAGCCCTGTGTGTTTTGCAAAATAACTGCGGTACAATTGTCAAGGTCTCATTTCGTCGAAAATTAAGCTCTGCAATAGCAATTTTAGTTGTTACCAGAAGTTACCAATTCCTGTTTACCTCTGAGGTGCAATGGGGAGCACGTCGTACAAGGCTGTGTGGGAGCACATTGGGAATTTTCACCCTAAAATTAAAACAGTAAAATGCATGATGTAAAAATATAAAAAATATAATCCCCCCCCCCCTCCAATAATTTAAAATTACAAATTCTCAAGTGTTATGATCCTATATATCTAAATTATTTGAGGAGTGAGTAATTAGCAGATGTGATTCTTCAATAAACCCACATAAGCAGACCTATATACATTGCATATACCATGTACATTCCACGTGGGATATTGTATATCCATAGAATGTGGAAAAGTATGTCGCAAATGTCCGATGTATGTGCATGGGATATAAGTTTGGCAGACTTCACATAATCTGTCTTATGTATATGCATGTATATAGGTACATCAGACATGCTATGTATATTGGTATACTGACAACTGGATATACCATGCATATTCCTGTAATATGCAAAAGATGTTCAATAGGATATTCTATGTATGTTGTATACATTCAGAATGGATGTTCTATAGAGATTCCTCTAACATTCGGGAAGTTTACTAGCGTCCATGCCAGAGCTGGGCAGTATTCGATTTTGTAAACACTTTTTAGTATTCAAATCCTTTTTAAAGTATTCAAATACTTTGTAATTAAATACTTTTATGGAAGCAGTATTTGTACTTGTAACTCAAATACTTTCACAAATATTTAGTCAATTTCGAAAGAAAATTCAAAGGGCTGTAACTTTTGAACTAGTAGCCCAATCTTGGAACTGTTTGAAATTATGGATTCTACAGGCCACATTCTATAAGAAAATTTTTTTTCCGGGTCGATCTGAGACAATTTTTTTTTCGGGGCTCAAAAAAAGGCAGTGTATAACCTTCCTTTTTTACCAAAAATCGACTACACCAAAATTTCTCGGGAAAACACTTTTTCTTATTAATTTTGGTGCGCAGAATCCAAAACAATTCGTACTTTTTCGATCAGACTTCTCAATCAAAAGTTATAGACTAGAAACCAATTTCGAAAGAAAATTCAAAGGCCTGTAACTTTTGAACTAGTAGCCCAATCTTGGAACTGTTTGAAATTATGGATTCTACAGGCCACATTCTATAAGAAAATTTTTTTTCCGGGTCATTCTGAGACAATTTTTTTTTCGGGCCTCAAAAAAAGGCAGTGTACAACCTTCCTTTTTTACCAAAAATCGACTGCACCAAAATTTCTCGGGAAAACACTTTTTCTTATTAATTTTGGTGCGTAGAATCCAAAACAATTCGTACTTTTTCGATCAGACTTCTCAATCAAAAGTTATAGACTAGAAACCAATTTCGAAAGAAAATTCAAAAGGCTGTAACTTTTGAACCAGTAGCCCAATCTTGGAACTGTTTGAAATTATGGATTCTACAGGCCACATTCTATAAGAAAATTTTTTTTCCGGGTCGATCTGAGACAATTTTTTTTCGGGCCTCAAAAAAAGGCAGTGTATAACCTTCCTTTTTTACCAAAAATCGACTGCACCAAAATTTCTCGGGAAACACTTTTTCTTATTAATTTTGGTGCGTAGAATCCAAAACAATTCGTACTTTTTCGATCAGACTTCTCAATCAAAAGTTATAGACTATAAACCAATTTCGAAAGAAAATTCAAAGGGCTGTAACTTTTGAACTAGTAGCCCAATCTTGGAACTGTTTGAAATTATGGATTCTACAGGCCACATTCTATAAGAACATTTTTTTCCGGGTCGATCTGAGACAATTTTTTTTTCGGGGCTCAAAAAAAGGCAGTGTATAACCTTCCTTTTTTACCAAAAATCGACTACACCAAAATTTCTCGGGAAAACACTTTTCTTATTAATTTTGGTGCGTAGAATCCAAAACAATTCGTACTTTTTCGATCAGACTTCTCAATCAAAAGTTATAAACTAGAAACCAATTTCGAAAGAAAATTCAAAGGGCTGTAACTTTTGAACTAGTAGCCCAATCTTGGAACTGTTTGAAATTATGGATTCTACAGGCCACATTCTATAAGAAAATTTCAGGTCGATCTGAGACAATTTTTTCTTCGGGGCTCAAAAAAAGGCAGTGTACAACCTTCCTTTTTTACCAAAAATCGACTACACCAAAATTTCTCGGGAAAACACATCCATACTGAACATAAAATACATATGCCAACCTATAATGAATATACATAGTATATACATAAGATGGACAGGATATTCCCTGTACCTTTATGGATTTAAAATGTATATACCTACATAAGATATCGAATGCTATGTGGGAAGACAGGTGTTAAAACTGAATAAGCGTATTTTTGTGCCGTAAAACGATGAACTCCTCCCGATTGACGAGGAACACGAGCTACTATTTTTGAATATAAAAAATAAACTCCGTCCCATTACATTTACTAAACTTGATCTTAAATCTTCACATCTGCCAAATGACATCACTTAAAATTTCAATTTCAAATCACCCGTTCTCAATTTACATACATTTTAACATTATTATAAAATAATTCAGGGTTGCATGAATAAAGTCGACGACTGAAAGACGAAACGTCAATTGCCGACGATAAACTTCCTCTTTGCGATCACCAAGGTCCGATACTATTGAGTGACCGGTTGAGGTTCAGAAAACTCAAAAAATATTAATGTAGGCATCATAAATAGTAATGAAATGAATTTTTTAATTTGTCTACGACAAATCTTTTCCTTTTGCTCTTTCTGGTCGATTTATACACGATCCTCTCTGATCGAGAAGGATGGAATGACGAGATCCATTAATCAAAAATTTGCATTTCAATTCTGTTGACATTGTCCACAAAACGATTTCATGATCGTATTATTTATTATTATACTGAATAAATAAACGTCGATCTGTAAATTGATATCAACAGTAGTGAGTTTTTACTTTTTTCCAATTAAATCTACTCCTGCACCATAACGTGAAATTAGGTAAATTGCGTCCACATTGATTAGCTCTAAGGTTATAGGTGGTTGACCCTCGTTCAAAATTGCGCGAGCAAACCAATTACTCTGGAACCACTTCTCAGGGGGAACAGCGAGGAGGCTGGGTTTTGGCTGATGGATGGAAGCTTCTCTGCTCTACTACAACAAAGCAAGTTTTGCTCTGGGGGTGGAGGGAAGTAAAAGTCGTATTCATACCGAAACCTAAAACTAATGGAGAAACTTGTTGAGTGACACATAAGGGATGTGGTGCTGGGGGCCGAATCCACCAGTAAACACAAATGTGTTTATCATCCAGGAAAATCCTGCGAACTTGCTATGCACAGAGTAGTGGATGTAGCTGAAAGGGTAATCTCTTGTAGAGCTTTAGCTGCAAATTCTTGATGGAGTGGCTACTTTGGTAGCATCAACGGGATCAAGCGAACTGCGATGGCCACAAGATGGGCTACAAAAATGCATTTGTGATACCTCACAACCCTTTTCACGTTTAGGGGATGAGAATGAATTAATACAATTTATCGATCAAGATACTGAATGTCGCATAACATTGAATTTCAAAATAAGCAGAAAATGTTTGGCACGAGTTCATTGATGAAATTGTTTATAATTTATAATCGATAGTAGTAGAAAAGGAACAAGATGCGTAGTTTTAAAGCAAAAAAATTTGTTAATGACGATTATTTTAATAACAAGGTCGTGTTAAATTTTTTATACATAAATAATTAATATAAGTTCATTCATCCAATCTATATGTTTAATGTATTCATCAAACATTTTTGGGTGAAAAGGTATTGAGTAATGAGGCACAGGTAGGGTTTAAAATTAATGACAATTTTTAATGGGAGCTAAACATCTCGCCTATCAGACAAGTGACATTGGTTTGCTATTAACCTTGCAATTTCCAAATGATATTGCGTCAAATTTTATGCGAAACTCAAAAATGTGTCCACGCTTTTACCTGCGACTGGTACTTATAAATAATCAATTTCATTAACGTAAACGATGTGTAATACTTTCTATCCTCGAGGTGGGAAAATTCGGTTATCTTTTTAAAAAATCAAAAATGCAAAAATGAAAGTAACTCACCTCGGCAAGGCATTCTGCTTGGCAAAGTGCATCGTACAAGTTTTGATTCAGTTCCTCGGACACTTCCGTGCAAATGTATCTATGTGGAAGAAGTAAAAGAACCCATGCAATCGCTTTATAATTCATCGCGAATTACGTTAATTAAAACTATTTACAAATAAAGTTAAATAAAACGTAAATTACCGTCGATCGAGGGACCACCGCGTATAGAGGTACCTCACGTTTGAATGTTGATATTGAACTGGACAATAGATGTATAGGTATCATTGATGATAATGGGTCGCATCTGATTAAAGAGGTTCAATAGAACCTCAATTCTGTTTCTTGCATTTCCATTACATTTGGTACAGTATTCCAATATGATGACAAAATAGGTACTACCTATAATGATAAATTACATGCAATTCTTAACCTACTATTCTTGCCTTACAATGCGAATGAATATTGATAAATTGACACCGTTTGATTTAATTCGAAACTGTAACCTATATCGAAATAAGGAATCATCATTTTATTTCACACATTTTTCAAATGATATTAGCTTGGTCATAATTAAATGATTATGGGACAAATAATACCTAAGGTCGTTCCAATTGTGGACGTTTTTGTTTTTCGTTTTCAGTGTGTTCCTTCTTTTGCTCATTATCCTGTCTTTGGTCTCCATTGTTGTATTCTGCAAAGTTCCACTTGAGCCTGAACCTGGCTACGTGTTACCCTACGTCCATACACTTGTTTTATTTTGTGTCTGATTATATATTACTCTTAACATTCATCTCTCCATGGCTCTTTACATGTCCATTATTTTAGGTCCAGATACCTACCTAAAAAACAGTGTTTGACAGTCTTAGGTACATCCTTTATGCCAACGTAATCAAATAATCGTTTTGCCGAAAAAAAATATTTTAGTTTTTTAACAAGGACTTTTTTTTTCTTTTTTTTGTAATAAAACCTAACAATTCTTGTAGGTTGTATACAGAAAAATAAGGTATTTCGAATAACTGAATAAACATTTGAAATTGCTCTATTTGATAAAAAAAAGTTGGACGCCGTTATGGCATTCAAAACACTTTTGCGCCCGCCATTTTTCGTTTCCGTATGTGTAATACATTTCCAAAATTTGAACAAAATCCGTCGAGCCGTTATCTTGGAAAACGTACGTATATATATTTTCAGGTGGAGTCTTCTACACTGTTGTTTTTAAATGGCTCCAAAGAAAGAAAGAAATTTGAGGGAGATATTTCTTGTTCAAGAGCCTTAGACAAGCGAAAATTCGAAATTAGGGTTTCAACTTCCTAAAGAATTCGTGTTCTCTATAATGGATTTTAGTACTTGCATTTTTTCCTTGGCTCCATGTACCATGTGCCATTAACCTGTACCTTCAAAACACCGCTCATAAATAAGAAAGTTGGGTTTACGCCTGCGCAATTTATTTTTTCAGAAAGTGCACATAATAAATATTGATCCAAAAGGCGGTTTCCAACAAAGCCAATTTTATTTACCTCTGCCAATGCATTTAACCGCTTCCTCAAATCTCAACCAAATTTTGCGTTTCTTTGGTCCAAAATGATCGCAAAAAAGTTTCATGTTTAAGTTTTGGCTAATCAAAAGTCACGTGTTACATTTATAAGTACGCATACAATAAACAGCAAAAGCTTACAATTATGAGCACCTAAAAAATAGGTAACAAAATGACAAAAAAGTAACTCTTAAGATAAAGATCTGAAAGCGACACAGCCGTAGGGACGGACAGATAGAGGGACGTCGCAAAAGTAGCCACAATAGCACATTTTTTATTTCTGTGGAAATGCGCTAAGACTTTGGCCCTACACACGCGTAATCAACTTTCCAAGATAGTTTTATAAGAAGCATATTGTCAAAATTGGTCATGAATTTGTGCATGCGCATGCGGAATCTATATTTTTTATGCATGCACTCAATTTAGTTTGACAAGTACTACCTATATCTTCTGTTAAAATTTTCGAAAATCCGTCTACAAATAAAAAATATGGTTTATGCAGGTACCGTTGAACTTCAATAAATCGTCCCCTGAAACAGGTATCTTTTCTAGGCAAAAATGCTTACTTCAAAACTATCGTATTGTACCCGTAAATTTAATTACGTAGTTTTACTTACTTACATCAGATTTCACAAAACGGATATTGAACTTTTTGGAGAATTTAAGATTACTGACGATGGGCTTTGCGGACGGCTCGCTGTCTGTCTGCGGTACTCGCTACACTGACCCCCTCTTGCGTTTAGCAACACGGATGACGGTTTTGGCGAGGATACGGTCCTACAGGCGATCCTGATGGCAGTATTTCCACGAAGACCCCCTCGTACATAATTCTATTCTTGAAGAAAAACAGTCCACCGTCTTACGAAACGGTAACGGGGGTCCTCCCGGATTGAAACAACAGACTTGGTGCCTGGGAATATCACCCCCAGCATATTTCGCAGGATGCGCCAGTCCAACTTACCAAGACCACATACAATCTTTGGAATTGCCTACTTGGTAATACCATGAGTTTGTAGTTGTCGTTTCAAGGGCTGTAGCGGATTACAAAATCTTCGCAACCAGGTTTATCAAAAGACCGCGGACTTTTGTATAATACACATATCGCCCCTGCTCCTATATGAAACGTTCAACCAACCTCGGGGCGTTAAAGGCAAAACCGTGGAACTTGAATTCTATACGGCAATAATCATGGATGGCACCCAATTTCTGACGCAGGTTTTCCACGTACCTACTCCTTCCCCACAGTTTCTTCAGGGCCGGATCTTGTACCAAACTTCAAATCAGTTTTTAGTTTTACGCACCCAAATCCTCAAACAAAACTTTCCGAGTTATTTCCAGATCAAAATCCCAATAATTGCTGGCGAACATTTTACGGCACAGACCATACCTATATATTCCAAAAATTTGTGCCCCCAATGTTCTATGCTAACATCGGCCTCCGCGCGGTGGAGGCATCCGTCGAGCGCGTCCCCGGGTGGCAGATAGGGCGCGACGTCCAGCATACAGACAGCTGAATGATCGGAAAGTGATTCGTGCTTCGGTGTGGGTAGATGACGCTAAAACCCAGACTGGTAGGGACGAAGGCTGTCGCTCGGATGAACCTCATCATACTGTGCAGGATTCTGGGCGACCTCTCCGAGGGGTGATCCTTTTCTTTCGGGAAGGGGCTGGCAGACAAACCTTGGGCAAGCGGCTCTGCCCAGGTGAAACCGCATTTCCGCAATATTCGTACGTGGGACAACTCTTCCTGAGCTCCTCATCAGAGGGGACCAACAAGCCGGGCCCTCAAGTGGTCCGGTAACGGGGTAGGATCTTCGCCAAGAGGGTGATGGCCAGGAACCGCCTGTTCGGGGGTAAAACCTCGGATTAAGCGGGCCCTGCGCTAAAGCCTAAGGATGGGTCGTCGGGTCAGTGGGTGGGACAACCCGACGTCAGGGACCAAGCGTCCCAGATCACTAGAGTGAGGCACTCCAGGGTCTGGCTCAGGGCAGCTTGAAAAGCAGCCCAGATATTATGAAGCACCCAAAGTTATGGGCGCACCAGGAACCTATGAGCAGGTATAGCTGCGGCGAGGCTTAAGGTGCCATCGTTCCGGTATCACACCCGGAGGTGCATTATAGCTGGATTGAATGCGTCAGTTGTCGACGGAATGGAGAGGGGGTTCTTTCCATCGGCTGGTGTGGGGTTCCGTTGCGTGCCATTATGGCCGAATGCGAGGACCAATGGAGCTTGGACTGATTGGATAGGACCTAGGATGGCGCGTCTATGAAAGTTCAAAGGGACGTCCCTAGGGTAACCAAGGTGATGCCTGATGTGTTATATTCGTTGTATACTCTTTGGTTATATGGGCTCCCGGAGGACACGGCCGCACCATCTTGAGGCGCCTCCAGTGGCAAAATCCTGGTTTCAGGACGAGAGGTCAACTTGCCCATAGTATAATCTATGCAGTGGTACACATACCAGGCGGTTCAAAACAAAAAGACGGTAAAACAGAGTTAGGGGTCAGCAGCCTAAACTGCCAAATCTCGGAATGAGTGAGGCAAAAAGCCATCGTCTTTCAAGCAAAGGTCTATATACCGCAATACCATATAAACCTCAACGAGCCCTCATAAACCTAGGAGGCAACAAAAAGGCGCTAAAGAAATTCAGGCAACCGTGTGAGTGCCAGGGCATTAAGACATTGCAGGCAACATGAAATAAATAATATGAACTGGTCAAATATAAAGAACCAGAGGTGGAAGCCGATAGAATTGGAGTCCTTCTATGGATTGCACAAAAGCCACATAAAAGAAGCCCTAAACCAGTGGGAGGAGATAAACAGGATCCATCACTGGAAGTGTACCAGAACAAAGACATGCCAAATTATGCATAGCATAAAGAATGTGACAAAAAGTCAAGGAAGCTGCAGCCCTCAACAGGAAGGACATATAGGTCCATTATAGGGCTTTTTACAGGCCATATTCCGCTTAAATACCATCTACATCCTCCCTTATACCCTCGCACACACACAAATACCAGTGACAGATAGATTTGTAAAGGAACCATTAAAACCAGTTTCGGGGGGAAGCAAGACGTGGTTCTAGGTGGGACTGAACCCAGCCTAGGTATCTGGAGAGCTATTGCAATATCAATTCAGTGTCTGACTAGGTCCTTTCTCAGCCCAATCACAATCTCTGTGTTTGATCAATTTGCAATCTTTCATAAATCATGCCAAACGGCCATTTCTCAACATCACTTTACATTTAGTCATATGTTAAGAGTGATAGTGCGATCTACCTATGAAACGAAGACAATCAGCTCCTTTCGTCTTAATTATACAAATTCGTAGCCAATTGCAGCAAAAACGAGATGCGAAATACGCACGCACACTAAAAGACACATTACCATTTCATAATCGAGCAATAAGCCACAAAAGTACTTTAATCATACATTTCAGTTGCTGGTAATACGTAAAAAGGATATAAACATTATATTATAACACAATAATAGACTATTTCGAGTAATTTGCATTGATGTAATGGTAGAGCAGCACCAGCAAAAATAACGTTACTCCCAACGCGTTGGCGAGGACAGCTAGGTGTACGTCGGTTATCATTGTTGATCTGCAAGAAGAATCGCAATTATTTAAGCGCTAATAATTACAAATAATCTACGGAAATTACAAGTTAACCTCAAAAATATGTTGTTTGATTGATGCGTGATGTCGCCACTGTCTGATACTCTGATTACAACCGTACCCCAATATTTAAAAATTAAAACTCGGTTTGTTGTTATTATTCAAGTTATTCCTTGATTTTCCTTTACGCAACAAAATTTATTCAGGTGAGCATTGAACAGTAGGTGTAAGATTTTGTAATTGAAAGAAATTGGGCAATTTGCTTTAGCAAGTTTTAACGGTTTTTTTCTGTTGACATTTGATACATTGGATTTGAAATTTACGTTTATTCAATTGCATTTTACGTACCGTTTGTGTTTTTCACGCTAAATAACTGGAAATTGCTAATTTTCCTTTGAAAATTTGGTTTACAGTGGGCTTAACCTCGTACGTGGCTTTTAACTGCGGCCGGCAGCTGATTACCGATTCCTGTTTTATCGACTCTACTTTACAGTGGCGTAACAGACGTTTTTTTATCTATCAAGTATACGTTGTGCCTTAGCATTTATTAGGTATTATAGTTGTGTGTATAATCAATGCTATCAACCGAGGGCATTGATTATGTTTTGTACCTAAGTACAGGGAATTAAATACATGGGAATCATGATACTAATCTCACGGTATGGAATAGATGACTTCAGGCAACCAACATTACACGCGACAAACTGGGGCTGTTTTTACAGTTCCCAAAACTGTTATCACCCTGATACCATGTCAATACTTCAACCTTATCGTCTTTGCTATCCGTATTTGTGTTAAAAAACCACAATTTGACGTTAACAATAAAAATGAAGATTAGCCTTATAATTTGACATTAAATAATCAAGTTACTGTTTCCATAGCAGACGCAGATTATCGTTTAAAATAGAGTCGGGTTGAGTTGGTTGCCTATTATAGCAATCTATACCATGCATTTGACCCGCCCAGAAAAATTCCTGCATATCTTGGACAGAAATATTTGAGAGGCGAGCTGTTGTGAAGGAATTTATAGGCCAAATTAGTTAGTATTTCCGGGAAGAATTTGGTGACAAATATTCCGGTTGGGGGGAGAGGGACGGAAGATTAATTCGGAACGAATATTCTGGGGCGGGGTTTAGACGGTTCTTCGCGAATAATTCAAAAATGCATGCGTTTAAAAATTTGCAATGCAAGTGCAACTTATCTCTCCTTTGGTTTCAGAAACATGTCAATAATCGCCACATCGTCGGACGATATCAAATTTCACGAATGGTCCGAAGGCGATCTCAAACTGTACTACAGACCTACAAACAGCCACGAAGGCCCCGTTAAGACAATATCATGGGGGAGGGACGGCAACTGGCTTGTTATCGTTCCAAACAGTGGACCTGCAGAAGTAATTAGTATTAAAGGGAACGTCAAAGTCTTGCAAACACTTCACAATATCCACCACCCCACGTGCGCCGCTTTTCACAATAACACCAAGAAAAACATCGTCATTGGCACGTTATCCGGCCAAGTCTTAGTGTACGACATCAAAGCCCAAAATATTAAAAAGCGATTTCCTAGGGCGTCGGCGCCAATTCTGGATGTCCGGTACAATTCCAAGGATAGCCACGTGGCGGCTTCATGCGAAAATGGCGATATCCTCCTTTACAATTACCTAACGACGAATTTGTCTTCCTTGTATAAAGTTCCAAAGTCGGATAGTGTCTCCGCCATAAATTTCCATCGCAGCCAGAGGAATTTGTTTGCGGCAGGAAGCGAAGAAGGGATGGTGGCGTGTTGGGATATAAACACCAACCAAATCCTGTGCGATGTTTCCGCTCATCACGCACGTGTCACCGATCTCACATTGTCCCCGATTCGCAACGACCTGATTATTACAAGCGGTATGGATCGTCGCGTCGCCTTTTACGATCTTGCGGCGAAGAAGTGCGTTATTGAGCTGGAAGTGAGCAATTCCACAACGGCGCTAGATTACAGCGCGTGTGGAACTTACTTGGGTTTGGGCTCGCAAAATGGAAATGTAATCGTTTACGACTCCCGAAACTTTAGGCAACCGTTCTCCGCGTTTGTCGCGCACGCGGATAAAAGAATACATCACCTCTTCTTCCAAAAGGCGATCTTCTCGGGCGCCGTGAGTGAGCACGGGTCGTTTGACATAGCGCCAGAGGAACCGGTCCCACCACCAACAAAAAAAATCGGCGACTCCCTAAGTTTCATAACTTGCGACGATTCGAATGATCAAGATATATCGCAGAAGGCCCCCCAGGACGTGGGGGATTCGTTCTTAGTCGCGTTAGGATTGAACAGCACCAGTCATTTGTCCGACAGGGAAATTTCCACAGCGATGGAAACGACGGATGACTTTCGCAAACGGCCCGATACCACCAAGCGCATTTCGTTTCTGGCGAATCAACCGTCGGAAAACATAGTGGCGATGAAAACTCCGGCAAACTCCGCGAAGCAAATTTCGTCCACCCCGAAGTATCTGACCGAACATCTCCCGATATCCGAGTCTCCAATAATCAGCTCGAATGTTTGCCAAGGTACCTGCGGGAATTCAATCGGCGACATAAAGCAGATGATCAAAGACACAATCAAGGAGGAGAATCAAATTCTGGCGGACCGATTTGCCAAAGAAGTGGCAATTCAGGTTGCAAACTTCAAAAAGGAGTTTACTTGGGAAGTGGCCGACGCCGTCGGCCATATCCGCCGTCATCTTCTCGACTTGCAAATGTCGATCGTAAAACAGTTTGTTGATATCGAGACCAAAATTGATACCATTAACAATACGCCTATTCGAGAATATGTCTGTGATGAATACTTAATTAGAAAAAACGACGAATTGTTACAAGAAATTGAGTCATTACGTGCACAACTCAGGGAGAAGAACTATAGGAAATTTTAATTGTCCTTAATTATCTAATCTTAATATACTTTTCTACTTTGCTACAGTTGTTTTTCTAATTTTAAAAGATGAGTGCGTAAATTGTGTTTCTATATCTTGTATTTTCGATATCACCAAAATTTTTTGTTAGTCATCTTTTCTGTGGTAGGTACCTAAATTTTTGGCAAAGATTTTTTTCTTTCTTATTTATAGCGGCAACTGTTAGTGTGATCAAAGTAACTGCCCACTTGAAATTCGTCAATATTTTTTTTATAAATATAATAATGGTGCCTACTGTGATACGTCAAGGCTTCTAGGAGTAATTTTGAAACGCCTGTGCTGAAGTGCAATCTTATCCTGAAAATGATCATCCGTTTCTCTTTCCTAAGCTTCCAATTTTCATTTTCTAAAATGATTATGAAGTTCCTTTTCATGTTCTTAGCAGCATTGAAATGGTTTAAATTTGTGTCAGATTCATTGGCTCCTGCCAAAGCAGAAAACGTTAAGTTTATAATTTCTTTTACAAATGTTGGAAATGACGATGAAAGGTTTGGTACATGAACTTCCCTTTCAATTTTTTGGGACAGAGATGCCATTTTTCGCGTCTCTCGACCCGCCAAATCTAGTTTAGCTGCAAGTATTTAGTATGCAAATACTTTTTGAAAGTATTCTGCCCTGCTCTGATTGGAACTGGTTCAACTATTACAAGAAATTCTTTTGGAAAAGCATAGGAATTACCAAAGAGATGGCGCAAATGTAACAATTGCATTCAGAAAAGACAATTCCAGATACTGGATCATTGAAGTACAATTGCTCTACAAATCCTACATGAAATTGCACATTTTCAACTGCCCTTTAAGGAAAATTGAGTCGGACGTGGCTATTAAGTGCATAAATTAAAATGTTCTTGTGAAGGTAGTTATGTACGTGGCGACATATCATTGGAAATGGTTCAACTATTACAAGAAAATAATAAGGAAAAGTATAGGGATTACCAAAGAGAAGGCGCAAATGTACCAATTGCATACACAAAAGACAATTCCAGATACTGGATCATTGAAATACAATTGCTCTACAAATCCTACATGAAATTGCACTCGTACTTTTTCGATTAGACTTCTCAATCAAAAGTTATAGATTAGAAACCAATTTCGAAAAAAAAAAGGCTGTAACTTTTGAACTAGTAGCCCAATCTGGGAACTGTTTGAAATTATGGATTCTACAGGCCACATTCTATAAGAAAATGTTTTTTCCCGGTCGATCTGAGACAATTTTTTTTTCGGGGCAAAAAAAAGGCAATTTTTTTTTACCAAAAATCGACTGCACCAAAATTTCTCGGGAAAACACTTTTTCTTATTAATTTTGCTGCGTAGAATCCAAAACAATTCGTACTTTTTCAATCAGATTTCTCAATCAAAAGTTATAGACTAGAAACCAATTTCGAAAGAAAATTCAAAGGGCTGTAACTTTTGAACTAGTAGCCCAATCTTGGAACTGTTTGAAATTATGGATTCTACAGGCCACATTCTATAAGAAAATGTTTTTTCCCGGTCGATCTGAGACAATTTTTTTTTCGGGGCAAAAAAAAGGCAGTGTACAACCTTCCTTTTTTATCAAAAATCGACTACACCAAAATTTCTCGGGAAAACACTTTTTCGTATTAATTTTGGTGCGTAAAATCCAAAACAATTCGTACTTTTTCGATTAGACTTCTCAATCAAAAGTTATAGACTAGAGGTAAGTAATATAGCAATCGATAACTATTTTTGTGCTGCCAGTTTTTGTAGAACTGAATATAAAAATGGAGGAGTTATCATATTCTCGAGAATTGATTATAACTTTAAGGAGTTTATTCTAGATGTACCGATTTTAGAAAAAAGTTTTGAATATGTTGCTGTCAGACTTGGTAAGCTTATCGTGGTATGTATGTATCGTTCCCCAGAGGGGAGTATTGATCAGTTTTTTGAACTTTTAGCGTTACTTTTAGATAGACTAACTAGTTTAAAGTTATGGGTTGTTATCTGCGGCGATTGTAACATTAACCTGCTTGAAAATTCGTACGCAAAATTAGAATTTATCAATTTATTAACTATACACTGTCCAACTAGAGTTACTTCTGTTTCTTCCACCCTAATCGATAATATCATTACAAATATTCCTTCGAAAACATTTGATTCCCAGAATATTTTTACTGGTCTTTCGGATCACCATTGCCAGATTTTGAGTTCGGAAAGCATCATTGAGAGTACCCCTTCTTTAATTGTTTCAAAATCCAGATGCTTTTTAAACAAAAACAAGGTAAAATTTATACAATTACTTGGTAGAATTGATTGGACACCTCTATATATCAACAACGATGTTAACGCTAAACTTGACATATTTTATTCCAATTACAAGTCATGCTCAGATGCTGCTTTTCCTCTGAAATCCTATAATAATAAAACTGTTAAGAAGTTGAAGTGGATCACTAAAGGAATCAAGACATCCTGTCGAAATAAGAGATGGCTGTTAGAGATGAGACATTACAGTACCAGTCAACATTTTCATAATTATGTCCACACTACTTAAGAACACCATAGCAGTTGCACGCGCATCGTACTTTACGAATTTAATTGCAAATTCTCAAAATAAACCGAAAGCCGCATGGGAAATTATAAAGCAAAACACTAAATCACCTAAACTCTTTGAAAATATTAAACTCCAACTGGATAGAAATAACACCACTTCTTGTCCAAACGAAATAGCTTCGCTATTCAATAAACATTTCTCTGATACGGCTTTTCATATATCAAGTAATCTGTCAAATGACCAACCATGCTTTTATGGATTAACTCATTCTCATAACTCGTTCTTTCTAAGCCCTGTTACACATCAGGAAACAGCGGATATTATACAATCATTGTCAAACAAATGTTCTACTGGTGTTGATGATGTTTGTTTACTCTGCTCATTAAAGAATAGGTAGAAGTTTTTAAATTCCCCCTAGAAAACATTATAAACACCTCCTTCTCAAATGGAATTTTGCCTGACCTGCAGTCATAAAACCACTCTTTAAGAAAGGCAGATATTAACAACTACCGGCCAATATCACAACTATCAGTAATATGAAAAATAATTGAAACTGCTACGAAAACTCGCTTATCTCAATATATTCAAAAAAATAGGTTACTCACAGAAAAACAATTTGGTTTTCAAAAAAATAAAAATACCTCATCAGCTGCAGTATGGAATTTCATGCAGGATATCTTCGATTCTATGTCCCTGAGACAATTCACTATAGGGATTTTCTGCGACCTTTCAAAAGCCTTCGATTGTGTTTCGCATGAGCTGTTACTACAAAAGCTTGGGGTCAGAGGAGTGGCGAAACTGTGGTTTACTTCCTACCTTGAAAATAGACAACAATTGTGTGAAATTAAATATTTAACAAATATTGGCATCATTGATACCTTCCAGTCCGGATACAGAACGGTTAAATGTGGTGTTCCGCAAGGAAGCGTACTTGGTCCACTTCTATTCCTAATGTATATCAACGTCTTAGTTGCTTCATTCCCCACTGTTAAATTTACCTTATTTGCAGATGACACTTCCCTGATCATTCACAACGCTTGCTATAACACACTCTTATTACACGCTAACCATATCATTGGACAAATAAACAATTGGATGAATCATCATAAGCTGTTCTTAAATATCAACAAGTCATGCTACATCTTTTTTCATTCATCGAATGTACAAATCAACTGTCCCGATATCTCTAGATAACAATCACATTAAACCGGTCTCATGCACCAAATTTCTTGGCATTACAATTGACGATACCTTCTCTTGGGCACCGCATATAGAAGACCTTTGCCCCAAACTAGCTAAGTCGATTTTTCTTATTAAAAGCGTAAAGGATATATTGGGTATTGAGATTTGGGGTAGTAGTGTTGATGTGCATAAGGCGTTTAAATTGCAAAAGCGAGCGATTCGCACGATTCTCAATATGAACCGTTTAGATTCTTGCAGAGGAAAGTTTTGTTTCATGCAACTTTTTACATTAACAAATCTCTACATTTTTAGAATATCTCTACAAATTTATAATAATAAACATAACTACGAGTATATTAAGCCGTCAGATGTACATGAGCACAAAACTAGAACAAACACTCAACTTCGTTTACCTAAGGTACATAGTACTCAATTACAAAATTTTCCAATATACCAGGGCCTTAAAATATTCAATAAGTTGCCGTCACATATTACAAATTTACAGTCTATGAATAAATTCAAAAGCAAACTTAAATCGTGGCTAAAACAAAATGAGTTTTATTCACTGGATGAGTTTTTTTCAAGTACAACCGGTTAATATAATTCCTTATTTTTTATTTTTGTTTAATTATTTCCATTTAGTTCATTTAATATTATATTTTGAAGCTTATTTATATATATATATATATATATATATATTACGTACTCGAGTTTTTTTTCCTCAACGCCTTGTATGGTTTGGCTGTTTGCATATTAATTTTTGTTTATGTTTGTAAATATACTACTTGTAAAACAGTGGAGGAATAAATATTATTATTATTAGACTTCTCAATCAAAAGTTATAGACTAGAAACCAATTTCGAAAAAAAATTCAAAAGGCTGTAACTTTTGAACCAGTAGCCCAATCTTGGAACTGTTTGAAATTATGGATTCTACAGGCCACGTTCTATAAGAAAATGTTTTTTTCCCGGTCGATCTGAGACAATTTTTTTTTCGGCCAAAAAAAAAGGCAGTGTACAACCTTCCTTTTTTACCAAAAATTGACTACACCAAAATTTCTCGGGAAAACACTTTTTCGTATTAATTTTGGTGCGTAGAATCCAAAACAACTCGTACTTTTTCGATTAGACTTCTCAATCAAAGTTATAGACTAGAAACCAATTTCGAAAGAAAATTCAAAGGGCTGTAACTTTTGAACTAGTAGCCCAATCTTGGAACTGTTTGAAATTATGGATTCTACAGGCCTCATTCTATAAGAAAATGTTTTTTCCCGGTCGATCTGAGA